GTAAGCTTTTGTGTTTTTCACAGCTTTAGAGGGTGTGACAATGCTAGGGGGTCTTTCAGTTCCTAAGTGGCTGGAGAAGACAAAAGCTTAGGATAAAAGGACATAGAGGGACCAAGAAGTCAGCCTCAAAGTAAATAATAACAAAAAAGAAGGCAGCCTCAGTGCTCCTTGGTTTCTCCATCAATAAGAACCTTGAGCCCCCCTAGCTTCCTGGCCTCATGGAACCTAACCGATGATGCTCGGGTGGTCCAGAGATACATTCCCAGTGCTGGCAAGTAAGTAAGCATTCAGCCAAACTGTCACCCACTACCATCTTCATGCCCTCCCTTCACATCCTAGAAGACCATTATCAGACCTTCCTAAAATGCAGAGAATTTAATAATCACCAACGGTTACCTCTGATACATATACTTGAACTTTATCTCTCTAAAACTTTGCAGCCCTTCTGATCAGAGGAAACATCTGAGGGCACGCGGGAAGGAAAGAGAAAATCACATTCCGCACAGTCCTCCAGGACGCTCTCACTGGTCAGCCTCGTGAGCCCGCCTTTCCCACACGGACGTTTCTCCTCCTTCCATCCACACACAAATGCCGGAATTCCCAGGACTCCTCCCGCAGCCCGCAGTAAGTCAACTGAAAGATGTGCTTGGACTGTCAGGGGTTCTTACCATTCCTTGCCCATGGATTTTATTTTGCCAATTACAAAATTTTGGAAATTTTGGCTGCTGTGCACATTAGTGTTCAGTCACAGAGAACGCAAAAGCAAAAGAAACTTTTATTCTTAGGAGCTGCAGCCTTTCATGTCTTACGTTCACCTCCACCAGAGATATCATTTATTGAGGACCATATATGTGTGTGCATCCACACACACACATCTGTGTATATGTGTGCATGCTTTACATATGTTAATCCATTCATTTAATCAGCACTTACTGAGCACCTGGTGTCACACATCTAATTGGGTATTAGAGATAAAATGATATGTAAGTCCAAGGTCACAACTCTGTGATAACCTGTGGGAAAAGCAGATGATCAAATAAGTAATGGCTGTGCAATGTGGTAAACGCTGGGATAGGAGAAGCAGGTTATTAAAAATAATATCGTAGGCAGTGACTATGCGTCAGATGTTTGTAGCCACTGTCTCTAATTCTCACAACATCCTGCATATGAGTATGCCGTGGCTGAACCACACTGCACATTGCCTCTCTATCAGCATCAGCGTCTCCATCACCATTTACATCTTAAATTCCCATTCTGGCCTCAATATTGCACCTGCCAACCTGCTTTACTCGTTCAGGCATCAATCAAACTTTGCCCGGTATTATGCAGCACACTGCACACCCTGGGGAGAAAAGACCACCTGGAAGAACTGTCAAGCTGGCTCCAAGGATGATAATAACACAGAGCAAGGAGGGGCATGGCACAGGGAAGTCTAGGGTCACTTCGGACCAATGGGGTACTTCAGACAGCAAGTCATTGGGCTCCTAAAAAGGAGAAAGCATCATAGAGTCATTTATTCAGGAGATGGGACCTAGGTCTTCATACCATGTAAGGTCAGACAGCAGAAGAGAGAAGAAGGTCAGGCCCTCAGGATAGCAATGTTCAGAGAGGTGCCCAGAAAGCTCACAGGTTAGGCTGCACCACAGCCAAGGGTGTAACCAGAGCCCAATGGTGGGACAAGCCAGCCTCCAGCTGCCCCAAGTGCCCATCGATAAGAGAATCGAAGGCACCTGGGCATTAAAACCACCCAAGTCTAACAGCAGATGGAGAAATCTGCATTTATAAGAATTCCTCCCAGAGACCACTACCTCCTGGGACCCAGGGTGAGACCCCAAAGGGCCTCCGGGAGTCAATACAGGTCACCAAACAGACTTCTAAAGGTGATGTCCTTCCACTGCAGGGACTTGTTTCCACTCGGAAGGTGTGCAAGTTCGAGCCCAGAAAGAGGTGCATTATTTAGAATCAGAGTGGAGGGGCCCAGTGCTGGCAGCAATGGGTCTCCCCATGACCCTTTCCCAGGGGGCCTCCCTTCCCCAAATGGGTAAGCAGATATTTAAAAGAATAGTGAGTTGCAGGCCGAGTTATTAGCCTGCCTGGAACACCCACGTGTCTCGGCCAGTCCTGCGATGATATCTACATATGTTTAACTCTTCACTGCTGATAAGATGCTTTTACATGTGTTAGATGACTTGATTTTCACAACAGCCATGAGATAATCACTTGGCCTCTCATTTTTTAGATGGAGATCGTCAGGGTCAGAGAGGATAAGTGACCTGTTCAGGTTATAAGCTAGCAAGTGGCAGAGCTGATTCTGGATCAGGGTATCTGTCCAATGATTTATTAGCTGTATCACTACTGCAATAAGCATACTTTATCAAGTTCTTTAGTGTTCAAAGCCAACTTTGGTATAGCAGCCTGGGGCAGTACAAACAGACACACACTAACACACATAGAAAGACTGACAGACACAGACACACAGACACACCCACATACTCATCCCTCCAACATAAATACTCTCTTGTTTTCCTAAAATAACAACGATAATATTCTACTTGTCTAAAAATCTATTTTCCCTCCTCTAGCCGTGGACCTTGTCTCAGTACATTTATAAGGTGAGTAGCTAATACTAGTATTTAGATGACCGATGCTATAGTATGTAAAGTCTTAAATCCTGGCTGTCGGTCTGCATATAACTCATTGCTTAGAACAGTGATGGCGAACCTTTTGAGCTTGGCGTGTCAGCATTTTGAAAAACCCTAACTTAAGTCTGGTGCCGTGTCACATACAGAAATTTTTTGATATTTGCAACCATAGTAAAACAAAGACTTATATTTCTGATATTTATTTTATATATTTAAATGCCATTTAACAAAGAAAAATCAACCAAAAAAATGAGTTCGCGTGTCACCTCTGACACTCGTGTCATAGGTTCGCCATCACTAGCTTAGAACAACCTTGCTTTTGTGTGAAATACCTGCCCATTTCCATTTTCTGCCACTGAAACTCTTGTCTCCACTCCCAATCTTCTCTCAGAAGCACATGTAGCAGCATCTTTCCTACTGGTCTGTCTTACGTCGGGACTTGTTTTCAGGAAGTGGTTTTTCCACTTAAAAATCATTGGACATAAAAATCAGAGGACTTAAAAAAAAACCAACCCAACCATTTAACCCATTTTTTTAAAGCAGAACCAAAAGCTATAGCAGCTAGAAGGGGCACATATTCTTTCTTTTTAAAAATCCCCAACTCTCAGTTTTTCAGAGCACTTCTTTCAAAGACAGAGGTCACAGAAATTAAATTATTCAAGAAACAACTTGTCAATTATTCTTGCACAGCGGGGAGACAGTTATACACAGAAATGTAGACAGAGCCAAAATCAAAGCGAAGTGCTAGGGACAAACCCGCAAACCACCCTGTAGCCCAGAGGCCGAGGGCTCGTCATCACACCCACAAAATAAAGACTACAGACTCCCCGAACCAGCCACAGGGAGGCCTCATTTTTTTTTCTTTCATAACACATAACTCTCAGCAAAAGATCTTAATGAAAATAAGGTCAATACACTCAATCCATAAAGCAATCATCTCACCTAATTTTAATCATCTCTCCCTACGAGAATTTAGATAATCAGGCCACACTACACAAACAGAATTCAAATACATTTTTTTCACCTCTCCCCCTACCTCCAAAGGAAAACTCCATATGCCACTCATCTTGCTGGAAACCACAGGGATAGAGTGATTTAATTCTAGTTAAACCAAGTATTTCAACCACATACTCATAAATCTTCATCTTAATCGTAGCCACGAAACATGAGTTTTGAGAGCTTTCCTTCTGACTTTTACTCAGTCAGTAAATCTCCAATATATAGTAAGCAACTCCAAAGCCAGTGATGTTCTCAGCCAATCCCAAACATATACAGAAATATGCGGTTACAGTAACTTTTAAAAAATTGCCTGCATTCTGCAGTATTATTTAAACCCATAAAACATTGTTCAGTTAAGCTCAACTTTCACAATTCTCATTAGGTAATCTAGGTGTGGCCGTTGGTAAATTTCCTTTTCACCAAAAGGAAGCTGGTATCAGGACATCAGGTACATATGGAAAAATACATATTTTGATACAAGTGTAAGTCAATGCACATGTTTTTGTTTAAAGATCCTTTTGCCTACTTTACGCACAATACAAATACGCTGCAGTCAAGTTTCATGTGTTGAATTTTAAGTTAGGTGTTAAAACTCGGTTTTCTGCTCCAAAAAGATGGGAGCTCAACACACCCTGTCAAATAGCCAGTCAATAGAAAACCAACCCAGCCCCCTGGATGCCCCCAAAGAAATCATTCTTTGTTCGCTTGGAAACTGAAGGACTTGACACACAGAATCACAGCTCCCACAGCAGTGGAATGGGCTGTGAATCCAGATGGCCATATTACACTCTCACTCATTGATTTGTTAAAAAATTTAACGTTAGGAATGAAACCAAAGCTACCACTAACACCAACAGGGTAATTAAATTCCTGGCTTGAGTCCCTTTCAAGATCCAAACCCAACATCAACATCTGGCAAGTCTCCATACAGGGCACCATACTTGTGCATGTTATTCCAAAAATTCAGAAGGAAGGCAAGAGTGAACATTTAAAAAGCCTATTAGTTACTTTTATTCTCTGTTTTAATCACACAAGAGCCGACTCCTGTTGCAATGATATCCTAGCATTTGGCTACTTGTGTCTTGAGGGCAAAAGCTGATTAGAGTCACTGCAGACAGTTCAGTCTGCTCTTGTCCAGGGGTCTTGATCAATACACTTTGCATCATAACCTAACACTGAAACTGCCTCTCCACCCCAGTCCCTAGCACTCAGCGGGTAACTCTGTTCTCTATAATTTGCGTATCTCCTTGGAAGGGTGAGGGAGATGCCTGATTCAAGCTGCATGTGTTCACAGCCCACTGCCCACAACATTATGCAGCCCCACAACTCAGTAGGGCACGCCTCTGGCACCCCCAGTACCTGCCAAGTTCCTCGCCGGTGTCGTAGTAATCATCCACGTTTTCCTGCCTGAACACGGTCATGATAAACTGTCACGCCTCACCAAAGCCCAGCGCACTTCAGCTCCGCTTCCCAAACCATCACCACCGCTCCTTCGCCTCCATGGGCCCCTCATGCATCAGTCTCCGGTCCTTTAAAAAAAAAAAAGGCAATAATACTAATAAAATGACAACCCAAAAAAACCTCCCCAGGGCTAAGACCCGCTGCTAACGACCACTTTTCCGGAGCTGCCCCTCCCACCAGGTGGAGAGGAGCACCCTTTGTTAAAACCGGGCCAGGGGCGTCCCCCAGCCCCGCATAGCCGGCGCGCTTGGGGCCGCGCACAACCGCACCCCAAGACCCGCGTCCCCAAAAGCAGGGTGCTCTGTACTGATAAGAACCAGCTCCGGAAGTGACTGGCCTCCCCACCTCCCCTTTTTCTGCACACACGCCCACCCAGCTCCCCACCTCCAGGGATGCCGCGGAAGAATGAAGCGCTAGCCCGGGAAGAACGCGCCCGGCTGGAAACATCGCTCTCCAACCGGCATCCGCGGCGGAGCCCCCGCGCCACCTCTCGGCTCCCGCACCACGGTCGCCACCCCTTCTCCTCCCTGGAGCCAGGCAGTCCCTAGAGGCTCATTCCTGGTGATTCCCGCTCC